ATGCACAGGATTACTGATTCAAAGAACTTTTTTAAAATACTATTTTTCTTTTCCTGAACTATCCATTTTAATGATTCTTTTTTAGTTAAGTCCATCAATATACTAGCTCAGCATTTTTTTCTAGCCACTGCAGATAGAAGTGTTTCCAAATAGCTGCAAAAAGAAAAAATGCCCAGCCAAAAAAGTATTTAAAAATATTCTACCAGGTTCTAACCAATAATCCTCTGCCTGTCAAACAAGATTTATAACCACTATATTACTGCAATAGCTGCAGTCGACATTAAAGTGAAAAGCAGATCCAGGTAAGGATGGTGGCTCTGTGCAATAGCCAATTAAATATATGTTTATTTTAAACAGAGTAAAATGCAGCAGTGCTTGAGCCAGCTCAAGGTGGAAACACTTCTTTTAATATAGAACTGGAAAATATGGGAGGTCTCATTTCTATAGCCTAGAGATTAATTGAGAGTAACAACACTGATTCCTGTGCTCCAGATACATTTAAGAAACATAGAAGCCATACCAACTACATACCATGTATAAGATATTTGAAACTCATTTTTCTTCCCACTTTCTCTAACAGAATACTTGACCTTCTCTTTTAACAGACTGGATTGTTTCCATCTGTTAATATAGGCAGGTTTGTTTTTAATCTTGTTTTTCATTGACTCCATGAAAAAGACTCACATAAGCAAATTCTGTAAATGCTAACCCTCTGGAAGCAGCATTTTTAAAATCATTTCAAAGGACTATCAGTCTCCTGAAAAATCAGTAGGCTTGCCAAAGAAAGGTATCCTGTTATATACCTACACCAAACAACCCCATGAAAAATTCTGCCTGAGGGATCAAATGAGCTGATCTCAGAAATACAAATACCTTGTCTGAAATAGAATGCAGACAAGCCTAAGCCAGAGATCTTTTTTCCATTCTTCCTTCTGAAGTCAGTTTTCCCTGCTAACCATTTTTGGTCACCAAAGGACCTCTTCCCTTTTCCATCCATTTCTACTTTTGTCTCCTGTTCATGTATGCATAGTATACACATTAACTATTTTGTTTTAAAAAAATTCTTATTGTGGCCCTGTTTATGGCATATGAGCTAGCTCCATATGGCTCTTAGCCATCAAGCCACTGGCACACAATTTGAAGCCAAGTGTAGAATAGACGTCAAAGCTGCCTACTATAAATATCTACTGGCTGCTGCTACATGCCTTTAAATTCCTGAATGGTTTGAATCTTAGCCTGCATTTCAAGAAACCATGCACCCAAATGGCAGAAGTCATCCCAATTCTGTTAAGTTTGTATATTTCATAGTATTTGCTGACAAGAGTTTTCCAATGAAGTAAATTATTCCCAAATGCTTCAAATCACGCCAGGAATGAAACTTCATGTCTACAGACTTTCATTTTAATGTTAGGAACCTACTTTTAAACTTTAAGCTTATCCTTAAGCTTAACCTTAGTTCTTTTTTTTATTTTTCCTCTGGCTCATATTAAATACTAAATTCAAGTATACCTCAAATTGATGAACAGTCCATTACTGCAACCCATGAAGGTATTATTTTTTTCTGATGCCAAAAGTCCACCTAACAAACTATTATATCATCTTGACCATCCAGTCTACACACTACAGTACTGCTCATTTCAAAATATAACACAATTTTTATCAACATAGGATCATCATAAGCCGAACGTCATGGAGGATACAGTTTTATGTGAGCTTATTTGAGCTAGTATTAGTTTGTTTAATGTTCACTTCCTTTTCGTTTATCCGATTATTTATTTACAATTAACAACTATGTCCTTTTCAGTTTCCAAAGTCCTTGTAACTACTTAGGAAAAACAGACAACAAACTATGAGGAAAAATACCATATTGAATAAAATAAAACATTTTAAACTAAAGAAACATAATATTAAACACTAGCTGTACCAGGCCACGCGTTGCTGTGGCTCAGTCTGGTTAAATTTATGTCCAGCAGATGGCGCTGTTTTTCAAAAAAAGCATGATTTTACCTGTCACAGGTGTGACATCTATATAATAGTAGGTATATAAAAACACGCGCGTATTCAAATGCAACGTTGTGTCAAAATTTCAAAGCAATCGGTGAAGAACTTTCGGAGATTTAAGATTTTGAACAAACGAACATTTACATTTTTATTTATATAGATTAAAAAATTCTTCATATCTAAAAAAATAACACTGCCAGTGCCAGGTGCATATAACTACCCACTCTTCTCTGTAACCACTTCTATAATATTCAAGACATATTGAAGGACAAAGATTACTTTGATCTGAGACTGCTTAAACCTAGAAGGAAAAAGTTACTATGATTTCTACGCAAGTATATCACTTTCTCTATAATGTTTTCATTCGATGTCCAATTTTGTTATCCATGAAGATAAAACAAGTTACATCATAACCGGATCTTTGCTTAAATTAGTGAGCGTATTTACTTCTGGTACCTACTGGCTACTGTATTTTTTTAAATCAGTTTTGAGACTAATATACCATTGGCCACATAAATGGGAATAGAGGTAGAGAAACAGGACAGTCTGCAACATAACCATTCTTTTTGGTTTTATTATTAACTTCTCTTACTGAAAAAAAATCATATTCAGGTCTCAGCAGATTTATTTTTTTAAAGTTAAATATATGTATTATTCCTTTTAATTATTCACCTACATCTCAGTGAGGTGTTGAGTAACTTAATAATTCTCACCACCTAGTTGAAACTATATAAATTGATACCATGTAACTTACCCTTATCAGGCTGATTCAAATATTTTTTATCATATCATTTTATTAGCTTTCCTTTGGTGTTCCCTTTCTCCAGAGAGTAGGGATATTCTTTATGCAAAACTGGTTTCCAGATGATTTTTAGACTGCAAATCATGAACTACTTTCAAATATGATAATGATGTGACGCCTCTTTTAATGAAATGTGTGCTCTTTTTAGTCTTTTGCATTCAAAATTATAACATCAACTCCTTCCTTACTTCCAAGATGAATCTCTTGCTAGATGAATGGAAAGTAACATTTCTGACTATTCTGAAATTACAAACTTTTATAGATTTTATGTTAGCACTGTGAGTATTAAAATTTGAAACCAGAATTCAGCACAAAGTTGAATGGACATAATTCAGTACATCACTAAGACACAAAGATAGCTTAGATATAATCAAATGCAATTTTATTCATTGTATTAAATCTTTGCCTTCTAACAATTTTAAGCCAAAATGGCAACACATTGTAATGGAGGGAAGTGCAAATGTTAACAAATCAGGACTAAGAATATTCAAGCACTCAAAACTATTTTATAATAAGAACGATGCATATTACCTCTTTCAAAAAAGACACAACAATTCAATATTATTTTCACAAAGCAACTGCGTCTTCATTACATTTGTATCTTTCATAATTTCTGGATTTCAAAAGTCCAAATCCATCTCAGAAGAAAATTAGGATTCATAAAAACAAACAATTAAAGCCAAAGTCGAACTTTTATAAATAAGTTAAAATTCTTAGGACATGTCTCTTCAGATATATTCCTTAAATGTAACAGTCAAGAGCTTGAAAAAAAACAACAGGGCAAAAGAAAATAGAGCAGAAATATGAAAATCCATGTTTTGCTTTGACTCATTCTGGATGTCTCCTATCCACAATAAAAGTGGGCCTTTGCTCAAAAGAGAAATGCAGAACTAGCTATCCGAGTCATTTATTTTATATCCAGCAATTAATGTTTTCAGCATTTTAATGTTCAGCAGTTATACAGTATTGGCATGTTTTGACTATCTAAATTATGAAAGTAAAAGAGGGTGATACTTTTACATCATTCTAATATAAATAGCTTACAGCTTCAGAAGATGGGTATTCTCAATGGAAAGACAACTATGAGGGGAAGACGTGAAAACTTATCAATAAAAATGCCCCCACCACTTCAGATTGAAAATTTTCTTAGACAAAGTTACACTGCAACATTTTTTTTAAAAAAAAAAATTAAAAACAACGTGAAAGACTATCTTAATCTTAAGGAAACAAGGTCAGGGCTCCTTGTTCATTTTAGCAAGATACAGTCAGAAACTCTTTTATTCTTAATAAGTAACCGTTGAATTTTTGTTATTAATAGATTTTTACGTCCATTTTTATTTATCACCGTACTAACAACCAGGCCTAACAAAATATCCATCGTCCTAGTCGCTTGAAGCCCAAAGGAGGAAATCATAAACTGATGCTAGTGTCTTTTTTTTAGCTAGCCTCTAGCTAGTTTGGCTAGTCTTTTTTTAAACTGCTAACCTTTTTAAATTAGCTAGCACTATACAAAAGCGTAAATACAGGATAGACAGTAGCTATCTTTTCAGTTCCCCTGACTGACCCTGGAAATAGGAGGAACGTGGCACAGAAGAACTGAAGAGCAAGAAATACGATAGCATCAAATTGAACCAGCCAGCCTAGGCAACTCTGGGTGTGGTGCCAGGGCAAAATGAGCTGTGACCTGTTCCAGAGGTACCCTTCCTACTGTTGGCTGCCTCCACTTATATTCTCTCCCTGTCCCTAGAATAACAGAAGAGGCAATTTGTCGGAGTCACCCACTATGCTGCTTGGTTCAGCTTTGGAAGGCACGGAATGAAATGGAAATCTACAGTCAGCAATGGGGGGAAAAAGTTTTACAACTTATGCTACTCCCTAGCTAATTCTTCTAAAAGGAGGACTCAGGAGAGCACTAGGAAACATGGTAATGTTCTTCTTTTGTCCCTTTCCAATGCAGTAAGCTTGTATAGTCTGAGGAAACCAGGGAGAGAGAGAGAGACAGAACCTTCTGCCCAGCAACCTTGCACCCAGACAATTCTGCTGATAATTTAACTTCCTTAGTTTTGATATAAATATTTAGAAAAAATAATCCTTTACTAGATTTTTAACTAAGGTCATTGCTGATGTTAAAAATCAAAATTTAAAATCTATTCTCACTGCTACTAAAATAAGAGAAAATCAAATGAAGAATAATATAGACCAAAGGTACTTGACTTTACCTTAACAAGCTATGATATGGCAAATATAAATTCTGAACTATATCCCTTAGCTATCAGGTAAGATTCTGATTAAGGGAGGATTATTGGTAAATCCACCCACTCCTTACAAATATTCCAGGTATTAAACTCAGTATTTCTAAGAGACCTGATACATCACAAGCCAGGAAATTCTGAGATGCTACTTACGGCTCGGATTCCTGTGCAGGAATGCCAAGCATATGAACCATTTAATTACAGTGACCAGATATATTAGAAAGTATGTATAATATTTTACAAATTACTACAGAACTTAAAAGTATGCTTGCAAAGTTAAGGATAGCCTGAGCAAGAGTCTTACATTTCACCTTCTAATACTCTGAGGTCCTCAAGCAGTTCTTGGGCCAGAATTTGTAGATCTTTATTACGGCTCTTTGATAGCATAAGGATACGTGGAAGTGGTAGGGAGTCACGTATTTCAAGAGCTGACTTAGTTAATATCTCTGGCTCCATAATCATGGACTGGAGAAGTCGTAATACATGAAAACATACTTCTGGATCTGGATCTAGAAAAGAGAAAGAAAATAGTATAGCTATGTGGCTTTAAAGAATGGTCACCCTATAAGTACAATAATGGCAATAATAAATAATTACCATTCTTAGAATTTAAAGCAAAGTTCTAAATTATTCCAGTGAAGTCCTTCTAAAACTAATTATTTCAGCCACCTATTTACCAATGTTCTCCACACTAAATCCACAAAGCACAGAAATAGCAGTGCTACCTTCTCTGGTTCAATATGTTTGGTTAAAAACCCTAAATTGGAATACTATTCCACACAACCGGGAATTCTGATTGTGCCAGTGGATGCAGTTATAATAATGGTAAAGCCAATCAGCATGTCTAGGTTCCTTTTTCTCTTATTCTGTGATGCATGGAGAGACGTTTTTAAAAAGATTGCTGGTTTCTTTAGTCTTTCTTTAGTTCCAAATGTAGAACATTCCCTAAATGCAAAGGAAATTTCATGCATTATTATCACTTGCAAAGATTGCTTATTACTATATTTTTTCAATTAACTTTATATAATGCAAAACTGAGCTGTAATCTGGTGAATTCTATAAGCAATATTCCACTTAGAACTATCCATCTACCTACCTAGAGTGCTTCCATGATATTTCACTTTCAAGCTGCACAGAACCTATGCTGCTGCTGCAACAAGCATCACCTCAGATACAATATATATTTATTATATAATATGTGTCAGTAAACAAGTTGGGTGGACTTTCAAGAAATATGAATAAGACAGAACTGTCTTACTCTCTGCTTCTTTTCAAGAAGTGGGGCTCCCTACATCAGACAAAAGGGGGAAAAACAAAACAAAAAAATCCTGGATTTTTTTATTTTCTGGTATCTGGTATTTGCAGCTCTGGGATCACATTTTCAGGTATCATATTCTACTCTGAATTAATGTTAAATAATTTAAAGAAAATGTTTATATACACCTACTTCAAAATTTCCTGGATAAAATATTTAAGGTATTTATCAGAATTATAAAATGTCCACTAAAATTTGATGCAACTAGCTTTCAAATATTAACAGGTGCAACTGATACGGCAAAATGGGATTGTAATCACATGTGTCACTAGAGCTATATTTCCAGATGAACTACTCTGTGAAATGACACTTATATAATTTCACTGCATCAATGCCAAACTGTTAATCATCAGTAGATCCTGGAAATATGTGAATTCAGTTAACATATGACTAACATTCTTTGATCTCAGAGGCAGAGCTTAACATGTTACCAAGTAATGACTGCAAGAGTCAGGCATCACTGTGTGTTTTCCATTTTTTTCTCACAAATTTTATATTAGGCTAGAAATTAGGAGGCCACAAGTTCTCTCCTACCAGCTGGATGACTTTGGGCCAGTAACTTTCTGATAGCTCTACTTCCAAACTCTTGCCAGTGAGCGGAGTAGAATCTGGGATTCCTTTACCTTTACCTGGATTAGGGAGAATCCCAGAATCACCCCAAAAGTTCATCCATTCAGTGGCAACTTGCAAGACGACTCTGGAGTGGCACTTTGAAGCTGTCAGATGAGTTGTCCAGCTGGAAGGTGGAGCTGCAATCACTTCATTGTTGAAAAAGCAGCCATTTTGGAATTTATTTTTTGAATGGAAAATAAGTTGTACCTTTCACTTCTTAAACACGCTATTTGATTATTATCTTTACTAAGCTAAAAAGGCTCTTTTTGGTCACAGACTACTACTCCTTTTTGAAAAGTTGTGCCATTTTGGGGACATTGTTACTGTTAAATGACAAGGAGGACAATTACTGGAGGCGAATTGAAATAAGGAAGCGTGGAGTACTTTTTCCTTTTTAATGTTGATGGACTTTAAAAAAATTCTGTTTTTATTTTATCATTTTCATGAATGTGCCACCTGTATTTGACACTGGGAGTTAAAATTTTCAGTTCTGGATTGTTTGTTTTGGGAGGTTAATATCTTTCAATTTTAATGGATTCTGATTGGAGAAACCAGTTTATCTAAAAAGTTTTTTTAAGAAGATTTATACTTTGACCACCTTGAGGGAGCTAAAGAGTAGAAGAAGATGAACCAATATTGAAAGCATTCTAAGCTATCACTCCTTGAGATGGGCAGCAACAGAAATCAAATAACCAACTAAAGTTTCAATATTCTTGTCAGGACTCTACAACAGTGGCACATATATAGTGCAGTCCTATGAGTGTTTAGTTACAAATACATCATATAGTACTGTGTTCAGTGATCTTCTTTGCTTAGGATTGGAACCTCCATTCATGTGTACCTCTATTTGAAAATATATTCCAATGAAAATAATCACATATCTAAATAAGCACGGACATGATTGTGATTTTAAATCAGAAATAATGCATACTGGGGAACCAATGAGCATAATAGTAAAGACATTCAGCTGCAAATCAGGAAGCCCTCTGATTTGAATGTTGCTTCTGCTTGAACTCAGTAATACAGCTATGGCAGCGGTTCTCAACCTATGGGTCGCGACCCCATTTGGGGTCGATCGACCATTTCACGGGGGTCGCCAAGCAAGGCTGTCCGCCATTTTTTTCCCTTTTCCGGCGGGTGCCTTACCTCCCTTGAGCTGGGCCAGCTGGTGGTCGGCCTGCTCCGTCTCTGCCGCTTGCCAGCTACGCCTCGGCCAGCGCAGGGGACGGAACCCCGCATGCGTGGCGCTCCCGGGCAGGGAAAGTCCTCGACTTACAACCAGTTGGGTAGTCCTCAACTTACGACCGGTTTAGTCCTCGACTTACGACCGGTTTAGTCCTCGACTTACGACCGGTTGGGGGTCGCGGCATTAAAAAGGTTGAGAACCACTGAGCTATGGGCTTTCTTAGCTTCATTCATTCCATGTGCAATATTAAAAATGACAACACTGAAAATCATTCAGTGAAAATAAAAGCCAATTACAAGGATTACAAGATAATGTATCTGTGAATATTTGAAAGGGCAGTAATCATAAATATAATAAAAATAGTAATACATTATATTATTATCAGCATCGTCATCATTACATATCAGAATCTAAACCTTGACTATGCTCTATATCACATGCTAATTACAAGGAAATTCTTCTCGGATGTGTTTTTCCTCATACAGAGAGTTCTTCCTGTTGCCTTTCTCTTTCTTGTCCCCTCATATAACCCTTCTATCTTTTACACTGATTCTAAAATACACAATTTCTTGGCAACATTTAAGGTATATAAAATATTGTTCTAATAAATCTAGAGGAGTAATTTTAAAAGATTAATGTTACTGAGCATTTTAAACTTTTATTTATTGTATTTATAAAAACCTTACCATTCAGAAGCCACCAGAGTAATGGGAAGAATCCTGCATTTCCACTGATATACTTCACACCTTTCATGTTGATACTAATATTATATAAGGACATCAGCATCAGCCTATAATAAAAGTTTTAAAAGTGACTGAAATGCATACAGTAGATGTATTTTTGGGGCAAAGTTTATATTGCACCTTTTGATTTGACAATCTTCAAGATACTATAGTAGCATATATACACATATATACAAGTAAAACCTTGATTAAACTGCATTTAATACAAAATGTGCTAGGTTTGTTTTGAATGTAAGGGCAACCTGATAAATGAAATTAACTATAAGGACGTAAAATCAATTTAACTGATTACATTTGCATATGATTAAAACTATAGCTTTGAAATAAAGCTTAGTTTATCTTTAGACTGTACAACACAAGTCATACTATATAAAGTATCATAAGAAAGAAAAAGTGACATCCATAAAAATAAATGTCTATTTTTAAAGAAAGTTTCCAGTTGTATTATTGTTTCAATCAGTTAGAAGTATTTCTAAGTGTAATTAACAGATGATTTCTTAAAAATCCACTCCTTGAGATTTGAGAATGAACAATGGTCTTGGTTTGAAAAGTCATTGTCTCTATAACAAATCAAATTAGAACTGAATCTTTCCAAAGAATATTAGCTTTGCAAAGCTAATATAGAATAAACATGTCATGGCCAGAATACAAGTCACAGTGCATCTTGCCTGTTTTTTGTCAGCAACCCTAAGACTTTTATAAAAATTGTACAACAAACAACTGGATGTATTTGGTACAACTTAAATCTTTGTTGTGTGCAAAATTCCTTAACAAATAAATTAATTGCTGCAGGAGAAGAACTTTTTAACTGTCAGATCCTTTTAGGATACCTTTCAAAATAACTATAGGATTTTCTCAGTTTGGAGAGCAAATGGTTGTCTAGTTATTGCTGGATACTTTATATTGAAACAGCTCTACCAATTATTTTAAGATGTCAATGAAGTCAGTTACATAGATTTATATAAAACTATTGTTCCTTCCTCTACTGGACAGATCTATCTATTTAGAAACTGATGAACTGAGATATTCATTTCTAAGCTCTCCCATCCCACGAGAAACAAATGGTATTGAAAGAGGGACCACCAAATTCTGTTTTCTGACTCTGCCATCTTCATGCTCAATTCTCCCAAAAGTTAATTAGAAGAAATCTAAGAAATGCTATGCAAGCAAATACTGTACATTTCATGGCAGAAACCTACCCTGGTGGGAAGAGTTTAGATCTAGAATATATGCCATTTAAAAAGAAATAAATACCAGGTACCAAGAGGATACTTGTTAATGCAGTCATATCGCATGGAAAGGAGGGAATAATAGCCATAATACTAGTGAAATGGGATTTTTTTTCCTATCTAACAGTTGCATTGGAGATAAACATTATGATCACAAATAGGGAGAAATATCAAATTTCCTCTCATTAAAATTCTGATACTAACCATCATAATCCAAAATGAAGGATTTATTGCTCAAAATATCTGGGGCTAGAGGGGAGGGATGAGAAAAAATATTAATTTTTTTATGCCTAAATAGCTTGCTTCTCATGGAATTGCTATCCAAGCTGACTCTTTACCTGAATAATTTCATCAGGGAAATGTGTATCTAAGGAAGAATGACAATCAGAGCTATTGTTAATTAGTAATACAATGTACTTTTGGGGGTTTGATCAGGAGCTAGCTAAAATCTTATTCCTCCCATAAAGGAAGGAAACAGAATGGCATTCCAAAGAAGCTTCTTTCTTGAGAAGAAATAATCAGTTTTACTCCTACTTCCTTTCGTCCTAGATAACACAGTTGCATCGTAGTTTCCCATGTGATTCAATTTTTATAGAAGAGCAGACTCACATGGGAGAGGCTTTTCTGACAACATTTTAAAGAAAAATAGGACAACTTGAGTCATCACATGACTCATTTTGCAAACTCCAGTCCTTTGATTTTTTTATTTAAGTTTAGTCTAAAGGACCAAATACAGTACTCCTCGACTGTGACTATAATGGAGCCTATAATCTGTATGTAAGCCATAAGGATCATAAGTTGAGATACCCACATGACCAACCTGATTTTACGACATTTTCTGCTTTGGTTGTTACATGAAAGCCACAGTCTTAAAGCGAATGCTGCAATTATTATTAAGTAAGTGCCATGGGTGTTAAGTGGATCCATGATCTACAATGCATGGTGGGGGGTTTTTTTGCCACGAACCAGAAGTAAACATCAGTTTCCAGTAAAAAATATTGTAAATCGTACTCATGTGATCACAAGATGCTGCAAACTGCCATAAATGTGGACCAGTTGCTAAGCCCCCAAAGTGCAATCACATAGCCACGAGAGTCACTCATCCTCAAAGAGTGCTTCAATGAGTGTGCAGTTACCTCTGTGAGAAAACATTACAAACTTATTCAGTGAGAAAATGATTTTTAACTCCCAAAATAAACAAAATAGTATGGTTTACGAATAAAAATAGAGAATAACGGTAAAGAGGTGGAGCATATAATATCTAAACCTGGCGGTACAGCAGGTAGTTGTAAAAAGAATGAGAGGACAAGAAGGAATGGGTCCTGCCGAGAGCTTTTTACTTCTCATGCCTCCTTCTCCTCACTACAAAAAGGAGATAGTAATGGTTCTACGTGTTTTGTTCCTTCTTCCTTCATGGGTTATAGCAAACACCATGCATACAGTGCCTGGAGGCTCTGCTCCATGCATCTAGGCTAGATTTTATTTTGAATCCCCAAGTCTCTGTATAATTTTACATATAGAAGTGCTCACAAGTCACCAAATGGCCTTGTGAAATGACATTGTGCAAAAAAGCTCCCTTATATGCTGCTCTCTTACCATAATTACCTATCATCTGAATTCCCCGGTATGAAGTTAGAAAGATATCACTTCAAACTGCAAAATCTATCTGAATTTGCTTCCCTGTGGGTTTAAGAAAATATAGATATCTATACTTGTATGGCCACAAAATGAAAGTCCACAGAGCCATCTAGTTCCCTATCTCACCAAAGTCAACTGGAAAAAAAAGTCCTTCTCCAGATCTTGGTGACCGTCCTTCCAATTATAATACAACTTTGCACATAGACTGGAAAGTTTATGGGTTTGGTGTTTTGCTGGATGCACTTTGTTAACACACTTGATTTTTCACAAATATAATAAAAAACCTTATGTTAGCAGCTAACATATCTAGAATGTATGACTGTGCATTACATCTTCTATTATTTATTTTTCAGGGAGGCCATTGTATATTTATTTAAATTACAGGAAGTAATCTGCCATTACTTTTGCAGTGACATAACTCATCAAGCCACTTGTTGCTGTTTACACAGCACTCTCAAAATATACACAGTGTGTAAATACTGTTCTGAATTCAGCAAGTTTCAAAAGCCTAACAGAAGTCTATTTCACAATGCAAACTTGTAGACTTGTTAACACTCAAACATATTTGTTTAAACACTATTTTTTAACTTCTATTTGATAGATTGAAAGTTATTTCTATTGCAGTATTTTTTCCTAGGAAAATATAGATTGAACGCCAACATAAAGATTGTAATAATTTCTTGTTACTTACTAATGTACCACTTATGGATCTTAATCTGCTTTATATCTTCTCTTACATCTCAATCTTTTTAAAGATTTTTTTAAAAAATTGTGAGAGATCCTAAACTCAGAATTTAGATCAAACTAGACAACCTTGGGTAATTACTTCAGAGATATTTCCTTAGCAGACTTCTCAATGCCTTCAGCAATGGCAGAACTTCTAATATGCTTGAAAAGTTCTTAAGAATTCAGGGAGATATTCAGAGATGTAGAGCCTTGAAAATATGAACGATATAACACAGTCAAATATCCGGAGTTGACCACAGGAAATCTTTAATGACATTTTGTATTATGTCACAAGATGTTTTATAAAATTTGCCAAATTTCAATTCTACTGGAATAGTGGATTTTGGATACATTCTGTAAGTTAGCCCATTTGAGATATCTAGGTTCAAAAATTATTGCCCTATGAGCATCAGCCTAATAAATAATAGAGTTGTATGAGGGAGTAAAAATGCTAGACCACTTTGAATTAGAAACACATCTGAAATTACAATTGCATTGTATCTGCAATCACTTTTTCAATATATCATCAAAATAAAGCAGAAAATTAAGAGCTTGGTTTACAGAAACTGCCTTGGGGGGGGGAACTACAGTAATTATTACAGGACTAGAGTTCTTATTGAAAAGAGAAGCCAAGCCTGTCGGTTTGCTGAAGATGATACACATAGCAACATTGGGGACAAGAAGGGTGTTTTGTTTTGTTTTTGCCCTGTCAGTGTTATTCAGCTTTAAAACATTCAGCTTTAAAACAGAAAGCAATCTTGGTGTAATTAGGAGATAGAACCTCAAGTAAAATCTCCTCAAATGTTGATGTGACATCTATCTCACTCTCCTTCTTGATAGCTTTTTTCAGTATTTGATAGAACAATATCTGAACATTTGTAAGACATGTTTCTGGTAGATAATGCCTAGACAGCAGGCTCAGATGTGATGATATATGCCCCTCTTCCTTCTTGAGGATAAGGTCAAATAAACCTCTTATCCATGACCATCAAGGATAGACCAGATTCTAAAACAGCTTGGAGAAAAATACAGAAAAGAATAAATATTTTCTTTAATGCAGAACAGAAATGAGGGGAACAATAAGAAAAATGTTCCGGTTTGTTCCTATTTATCAACTTCCAGAGAGGCCCATATACTAATTCCAAAGTTCCTCCTGTTTTGAACAGCTGCTCTACTATGTCATTAAACAAAGAAAAGTCATATTAAATTTCTTATAACACAAAGGATTAACACAAAATGCAATACATTTTTACCATCTGTTTATCAGCAGACACAGCAAACCAGATTAAAAAGTGTTATAGAAAAACATGTCTGTACTTAGGTTTTTCAGCTGTTCTTTTTCTAGGCAATTGAGAAAGCTGTGCAATGATGACATGCTAAAATTATAGAGAGTTTATATATCTACTATTAAGTTGTTCAAAGGGCAAAGCTCACTATTTAGAACAGACATGTCAAACTCGCAACGTCACGTGATGTCGCGCAACGTATTGGGACTGTTTCGCCATTGCCGGCAATGGGGTGGGCGCGGCTTCCACGTGACGCCTCCGGCCCGCAGGCTGGCAGTTTGACACCCCTGATTTAGAATATTAGCCTAGGAAATGCTTTTTAATCCTTTGGAACCTCCTCCTATTATCATTGCTCTTACAACTTTTACATCAAAATGTTATATTTATACTTAAGTTTAAGATTTTAATTAGGCATCACTTTTTAAAATATATTCTCTTAGCCACAAAAATATAGTTCTATGCAGTGCTTTTTTTCTAAAAAAAAAAAAAAAAGGTGCAGGAACTCACACACGTCATACAACCCGCCTTGCCTACCCTACGAGGTTCCATCCAAAAAAGGTGCTGGAACTCCGTTCTGGGCGTTCTATGAGAAAAAAAGCCCTGGTTCTATGATCCACAATCTCTGAAAAAAATCTTAATTTAATACAGTATTAAGCCTATAGCACCCTCTGCTGTCCACCCTTTATAATAACATTCAAGACACTAACAGGTGCATCATGTATTAATTTTGTTAACTAGCAAATGAAAATTAAATAAATTACTTATAATTAAAAACTAAGGAAAATTCTTTTTAGGCTAAATCAAGTCAAATAATTTAGTGTAGAAATCTTTAGTATTGGTCCATTTTTATTTCTGCAATTCTACCTAGCTTGATAAAAAAAGAAATTGCTATCCTAACTGGATTTATTAGATTGTGGGTTTGGGACTGAGTGGTAGTTCCTTTTCTTTGGAGAATTTGCTATTTACAGCATGCATTTTTAACTGTTCTAAAGTTAACTGTTTTAACTTAACAGTAGCATGTTAAGATAAATTTGTTTAATATATGATTAACATTATTGTTTAATGTAATATTAATATAAGATATTGAAGATAACACTTTAATTCAAAAATAATCAATTATCATACACTTTTAGTTTGGTGCAACATCCTGGCTTCATATCTCTCAGCAACTGAATCATTGTGTCCAGCAGTACCTGATTTGAACCAACAAGGAATTCACGACCAATTGCTAAAGCAGCAACATCTAAGAAAACACAAAATAAAATATAAAAACTTTAAACAAGTTGTTTTCTTATTTAAGAACACTACTGAAAAAAGTAACTTTTAGAAAGGCTACTAATTAGTTGTTGAACACACACACACAAATCATTCATGTATAATATTATTACTTAGAATTACTGAAGATTTATATCCTACCTTTCCTCCAGTAGATAATTATTAAATAATTAATTAAATTCATATGCTGCCCATTTCATCTATAAGACAACTTTCTTACTAGTATCTATGTGGAAGGGAAAGGGGTCAGACCAATAAAAATAGTGTCACAACACTGCAGCAGAAGCTCCACCTTTTTCTACATGTGCCAAGCAACATCATGCATGTTGTAGATTCCAAAGAGGCTTTGTGTTTCAGTGCTGTGGATGCTGCTGCACACACACCCCCCCCCAAAAAAAAAAGAAAACAACTTTTCGCACAAAAGCCTTGTGCAGGCTGGACTCAGAGACAATTAGTCCAGATTACTGTTTTGTTAAATTTATATCATGCCTTTTGTCCGAGAGGTCAAGGTAACTGACATAGAGATTGCCTTTTATTTTATTCCCACAAAATCCTGTGGTGTAGGTTGTTGAGAGATATAGACTAGCTCAGGGGTAGTCAACCTTGGCTCTTTTATGACTCGTGGACTTCAATTCCCAGAATTCCTGAGCCAGCTTAGCTGGCTCAGGAATTCTGGGAGTTGAAGTCCACGAGTCATAAAAGAGCCAAGGTTGACTACCCCTGGACTAGCTCAAAGTGAGAAGAACTTTTTTCCACAATGAAAAAAAAATTGCTAGGCATTAAGCACAGTATTTGCTGTGTTTGGTAAGTTCATTGTCTAGGTCTGCCTAATTCTGAAATGGTTCTGGGTAGTTTTGTAAGATTAAAACAAATGATGCCTAAAGACAAATCTGTATATGAACAACAGCTATCTGAGGAAATAACAAACTATTTTAATCCAAGGCTGGGTGGGGATGGAAGGAAGGGAAGGTTTCAAAAGATTGCTTGAAGGCAGGCAAGGGATCCATACACACCACAGGGGAAGCTGCTCCAAAGGCAACTGAGAAGGCTTAGCTTCTGGGTCCTACCGAAGGACACTGCTTAATCAATGGGACCCAAAGCAAGCTGACACTGTTGGAGCCCACAATCCCTCAAATAGCTAGGCTCTACGCCAGTGGTTCTCAACCTTTTTAATGCCGTGACCCCAACTAGTCGTAAGTCGAGGACTAAACTGGTCGTAAGTTGAGGACTAAACCGGTCGTAAGTCGAGGACTACCCAACCGGTCGTAAGTCGAGGACTTTCCCTGCCCAGGAGCGCCACGCATGCGTGGTTCCACCCCCTGCGCTGGCCGAGGCGTAGCTGGCAAGCGGCAGAGACGGAGCAGGCCGACCACCAGCTGGCCCAGCCCAAGGGAGGTAAGGCACCTGCCGGAAAAGGGGGAAAAATGGCGGACAAAAAAAAATGGCGGACAGCCTTGCTTGGCGACCCCCATGAAATGGTCGATCGACCCCAAATGGGGTCCCGACCCACAGGTTGAGAACCACTGCTCTACGCCATGCCGTATGAAGCACTCACAGCCACTTAAGTCTTGTTAGGGTTGAACCTGAGCCTATTCCTCCAGCCCTAACAGTCTCCAGGTAATGGGAGAAGACATCTACAAAAATTAATAATCCAGAACAATTGTAATATGCATATAAATCCCAGTTCGCAAACAAATCACCAACAAATCATGACAACTAATATATAGCTAATAAATAGTTGTGCTACAAAAGATCTGAAGTATTTTAGTTTATTTTTTTATTAAGATAAAAAAAGCAATTTGTATGAATGGTAAATTCCCTGTTGTTTTCTAGATGCAAATCCTGGTTAGGAGACAGAAACAAAATGGTCTTTGTCTCCCTATTTATCACTACAAGTTTTAAAATCCTGCTACATAGAAAGAAGCACATATAAGTCTGGGGAGAATTCTAAAAGTGTAAGGAAAAATGTTTTGATTTCACTTATATTACATGTAGCTGCCTAGAATATTTGGAATGTGGCATCTGTCATTATTTCTTTGGCATGCTATTTATACTACATTTACCACTGAAATAAAATTTGAAAGAAATGTTAAACTATATTCTGTTCAAACTATGAACAAGTTATGTTTTCTTATTTCAAAAACTTTGACTAAATGTCAGAAATTTTGAAGATACTTACAGCATAGCATAATCTGAGGCAGATACCCCATAGCTCAGTGATGGCGAACCTTTTAGAGACCGAGTGCCCAAACTGCAACCCAAAACCCACTTATGCATCGTCGGGTGCCGGGTGGGTGTGGCCCATTGGGTGGGCGTGGCTGCGGTGGTAACAGCAGACTGGGTGGGACAAAAAAGTTCAATCAATCAATTCCAACTTTGCAAGATCTTTTTTTTCCCGCGAGAAGTTGAAATTGACTGATTGATTGAACCTTTTTTTTTGTACACAGCAGCGGAGGCCTAAAGCGAAAAGGTTTTATAAAACCCAGCTGAAGGCCTAGGACTGGGGCGATGGCGCACGTGCCCACAGAGAGGGCTCTGAGTGCCGCCTCTGGCACCCGTGCCATAGGTTTGCCACCACTGCCATAGCTTTTCTGCCAGAGGAAAAAGAAGAAATATTTTATTTGCCAAATATAGTTCTGAAGTCAAAGTAAGTAAAGATGGATTAGTATTAAATATACTCTCAAGGAGAAAGATGTTAATATAATATGATCAGTTTTCATAAATAACTTGGTCATACTAAAATAAGCTAAATTAAAAACAAACTTGAAGAGTTGTAAGTCAACAAGTGATTTCTTATTATTCCATAAAATATTAGAAGTTACTTACTTGTAACAATTCCAGCCAAACCTAATACAAACTGACTTTCATCAGAATCCATATCCTGATGTTTGCTATCTTCGTTTAAAGAGTGGACAAAACTCTCCATTGTTTGTCCAGCAATAGTAAAAAACTTTACAGCCTGAGCCTGAAATTTCATAGGGAAAAATAACTATTTAATAAGCCTATGAATTTATAAAAACTAGCATTTCATACAATGAAATGTAAAAGGAAACATTTAGTTACATATTGTCCATTTTATAAGATATTTCCTATTCTAGACAAAGGTCTTCTTATAACATAGCAAATCTAGGATAAAGATTTTTTGCATAACGAGGCAATTGGTGCTCAAGTCTACAGCATTAGCCAACATAATTCTTCAGTTCATGTATCATAAACAATTTATATTCAACACAAATGACAGTGTGCACTGACTTTTGGCTTCACTGACACATTTTGAGATTTTGATCATTTATGTAATAGGTAAGAAATTCTAAAGAAGTAACGGTTTGTTGCTAGAAAAACAAATCTTGCAATAAACAATCTAAGTTACTACAGTACAAATAACTTAAAACAACAGCAACATCAGGAAGGAGTATGTGACAGGGGGACGATCGAGAGCATCCTGTCATACAGCATCACAGTCTGGTTTGGAAGCATCACTGCTTCAGACAGGAAGGCGGTGCAGAGAGTGATGAGAATGGCCAAAAAGATCATTGGCAGTTCCTTCCCTCCCTCCCATCCAGGACATAGCACAGAAGCGTTGCTTGAGCAGGGTCCGTAAGATTATCTGGGACACAACACATCCTCTTCAGGACCTGTTTTCCTTGTTACCTTCTGGGAGGAGGCTTCATGGTATCCGTAGCAGAACATCCAGATTCAGCCATAGTTTCATTCCATACAGCATTAAACTTGTGAACTCTCAAGCTTCCTCCTTCCGTTATATATTCAAGATGGACAGTATTTAATATTTATTTGCTACGTATATGTAGGGATGTGGGTCTATATCTATGTTGTTCATAGTATGTTTATGTGTGCGTCATGTATGTGTTTCACTTTGAGAGCGGGCAACTAAATTTCATTTTTGATGTGTGCCGTTGTGCCCACAGTAAAAAAAATGACAATAAAGGTTATCTTATCTTATCAAGCTGGAGAAATACTAGGGTCTAAAGGAGAAACTAGAGAGGGTATGGAATGTAAAGGCCAAAGTGGCCCCACCAGTGATAGGATCTTTATCTAGTCTTGGTACACCAGCTGCAGCTCAACAAAAATTAGAGGATCCTGCAACAGTAAGTCATGCCCTCACCATATGTCTGGACTATAATGAACCTTACATGGAGCTCTTTTTGAGGACTACTCAGAAACTGCAGTTGATACAAATTATGATGGTCTACCTACCAGATGTTACCGAGATCACATTTCACTCGTGCTGTAGGCCTTGCATTGGTTGTCCATGATTTTCTGGGTGCAATTCAACATTCTGTTTTACTTATAAAGCCTTATATAGTTTGGGAACTAGCTACCTGCACGAACATCTTCTCCAAACAGAATTGATCTGTCCTAGAAGTTGATTGTTTCTCATTTTCATAAAAGTGAGAGAGTGACAGTTTCAGGCCAGATTTTTATTGCAGCACCAGCCTTATGGAATAGCCTTCCCTTAGAAGCTAATATGCCCCATTCATAGAAGCATTCTTGAAGATGATAAAGACTTTTAGAAGTCTTTTAGAAGTAGTTAATAGGTTGTTGTTATTATTATTAGTTAGTTATTATTTAATGTGATTCCATCTGTATCTACCTAACAACATATCCAATTTCTGCTTATTTCCTTTTGCATCTGAGTATTTAACTGATAACTTATATACAAAAATAAATACAGATTTCATTTAATTCCTAAAGATGTCTTCTAAATTTTTCCATTTACTTTAACATTTATTAAGGGATAGCTTAAATTCTACCAATCTTGTTGACATAGTTTTGACCGATATTTGGCCTCAAATGGAATAAATTTACCCTAATCTAGGCTCTAGAAAGTCTTTTGCATGTTTGTCACATGTTTGATTGTAGTGTGCTAATTCCAACTAGATTGAGAAAATGAGTAAGATCTTTTTTAAAAGATTTTAACAAGGCTGATAATGATTTAATCTTCCAAAAGTAATTAAATGATTTAATATCCCCAAAGTGGCTAAACTTACACTTCCTAGAATATTTTTAACTGCTTCTTCATTATTAGAAACACTCCATAATAATGTGCATACTGCAGCACCCATTTCTGTACAATATTCAGCTTGTTGTAATAATTGTTGCTTTGCATCATTCAGCTGCTGTCGAATATTTAATTTTTCCTGAAAGTGACCAAAATACGAAGAGATGATCAGTTGTACTAATTATAGCATTCAGACAGTTCTAATGTTTCTCAAGAAGTTACCGGTAGCAAATTTTAAATAACAATCTCTTACTGGTAGCAAATTTTAAATAACAATGATTTAAGCATGGCTGCTGAGAACCTTAAATGCTTCCTACTGCATGTTACAAAGAGAGTATAAGAAGCAAGTTAGACCTGACCATGGTAACCAAGTTCATTGTATTATATGTAAAACAGAAAATATAATTTTCTCAACTAAATGGGTAGCATAGGTGAAGGAACTGAATGCTCTTTTCTATATATATATTTTTGTGTTGCCCAACATTTTGTTTTCTTCAGTTTATCACATCTGGATTGTAAAAATTCAGACATCCACTAAACAGCAGCAAAGTGTTATCTTCACTACTATCTCATAGTCATTTATTCTATACTTTTGCAACCCAAATCTAGTAACCCTAATTTATCCAATCTAAATCTCTCTGAAAAGGAAGCTAGGCAAGGAAACAAAAATCTTGGGTGACAGAAGACATCTGTAAGTACAGATAATCCTCAACCTATGACCACAATCAGGACCAGAACATCCATCCCTAAGTGATATAGTCATTAAGTGAGTTCTGCCCAATATTACAACCTTTTTTGCCATGGTTGTTAAGCAAATCATGCCCCCCAATTAAGTTTGCTTGTTGGAAGCCTCCTGGGAAGGTAGCAAATGGCAAATTTCTGACCCAAGGACACTGCAATTGTTGTAAATACATGTTGGTTGTCAAGCACTCAGATTTTGATCATGTGACTGCAGGCGGGCTGTGATAGTTTTAAGTGTGAGGATCAGTTGTTAACTAACTTTTTACAGCACTGTCATAACTTTGAACAGTTGTTAAATGAATTTCATAAATTGAGGACTACCTGTACTTTTAAATAATAAAAATAGATTTCCACCACCATATATGAACAGAGGAGGCGTTTGGATAAATCAACCATTATATTCAGTTTGGATACAAAATAATGAAACAAAGGCAATAGACTAAAATAAGATGTATAATTCAGATCTTTTATGATCTTTAAAGAAAGGCAATGTAAATCTGAAATTCATTATATTGTTTGTGGTTACTTCAACTGTATATACCTATACTGTGTCTAATGTTTAACTTATGGAGAAGACTTCAATATATTTGTCAGCAATTCTTCAATTTCTTTCCAGTTTTATATATCACTACTTCAAAGAGTTAACAGAAAAAGAAACAAGTTTCTGAGGTCTTCTATAAGTGACTTAAGCCAAAGAAATGTTTTCTGCTCATAAATGCACACCTTCCTAGAGAAATGGGCAGTCTTGTCTCTGATATCACAAGGAATTTTTGGATGATTCAATAAAGAATTGTTAAAAACTTTCTATTTGATTCACATGCAAAAGGTAAGTATGCAAGAACATCTGGGAACCTCTGACATTTTAAACAGGTTTCGTATTGGCCATGCAACCTAGAAATAAGGAAAGTTGTACCCCAACATGTGCAAAGACATTAGATTGGTGAAAATTGTTTAACTATAGGGAGCAATATCTTATGGAAATGGAAATAACATAACAATGAAATTCTGTAGATGTCACCTCTTTGAGTCCAGCTGGACATATCTAGAAATACATATACATAGGATTTGCATCATAAGTCTACAAACTCTCTATGAGAAAATAGAACAATCATGCTAGAAAAAATATCTTATCTAGTTCGAGAGCTTATTTAGTAGTTACTTTTAGTTGTATACTAGTGTTCCCTAATACAAAAAAGTGTTGAATAGTTATTTGATTGTCATGGTAATCTGACAATAGTAAGCATGTTTTCACCTTATTAAAAGAGCAAAATATTAGCACATATTGTCTCACATAACTTTAGCCTATTTGTGTGTATGTACATATTCCACTGATTTCTAAAAGGTAGTATTCTCAGGAAAACAAATACAGAATTGCAGAGTAAAAGTCTAGTTAAGACTGAACTTTTAACCTTATTTGCCAATAGCCAGTGTATAGCAATTAAGGTATTGGTCTATGACAAAGCAGATCTATGTTCCAGTCCACCATCAGCCATGAAAATTCACTGGTTACGTTTGGGCCAGTCATTCTCAAGACCACCAACCTTGTTGCCATTTTATGGATAAAGGAAAAGCACATAAGCTACATTAAGCTTCTGGAGGAGAGGTAAGATGTAATTTTAATAAAAACTGGGTAATGAATAAGAATCCTCCTTTACCATTCTTTCTCTCACACAGTCTGCCTGGGCTGCTTCCAAGCGAGCTTTATAGTGTTCACAATCCATTCTCAATTGTTCCAGTTCATTAGCTTTCTTTTCTACAACTAAAAATAGAGGACCACAAGAAAAACAATTAAAAACAAATCAAGTCATTCAAATACTACACTTAAACTGCAACAATCAGCAAATCACGCTATATAGAAGAAAAGTAACAAATATGGTGAAAAGCTTGAAAACCAAATCCTTCAAGGGCAGGTTTAAGTAGTGTGTATATTTAACCTTCAGAGGCAAATGATAATATGTTAGACATCTTCAAATATTTGAAGAGCAGTCATATATAGGACAAAACAGTTTTATTTTCTTGTTGTGTGTATTACTTAAACTAGTAGGTTTAATTTATAAAAACAGACATTTTTCTTAAACTTTATTAAGAACTCAATTTGTATAAGCTGACTGAGAAACAGGCTCATGGATCATTCTTAAGAGATTTTCAAGCAGTGACTACGATATAAGGTCACCTATTTAGTATGTTTAACACACGGGTAGCAAACTCAAATAGCATGACGTAATGTATCGTGACATATCGTGATGTTTTTTGCCTTTGCGGAGCCAGGGTGGGCGTGGCCTGCATGTGATGTATCCAGCCCGCAGGTTGCCAGTTTGACACCCCTGCTTTAACAGGACCTTGTAAGTATACATATTTGGTAAACAAACATTAGCTAAACTGCCAATTCTGTGCTTTTCAATCTTTCATTATCTTACAAATCACTTGGAGGAGGGGGGAGGCAGAAGAACAAGAAGTTTTTTTTTTAATATGCTCTCAAATATAAACAAGTAACTTCAGGAAAATGATGTTGACAGGTCCTGCGAGAACAGGATAATCATAGATCAACACATGTTCTAGACTGTTATCAGTCTGAATCCATAATGTCATGTATTCAGAGCTGTGGTGGTGCAGTGGTTAGAATGCAGTATTGCAGGCTGATTCCACCCGCTGCCAGGAGTTTGATCCTGAACTCAAGGTTGACTCAGCCTTCCTTCTTTCTGAGGTTGATAAATATAAGTATATACAGCTTAGAGAGTGCTGTAAAGCACTATGAAGTGATATATAAACCTAAGTGCTATTGTTATTATATTTGGCTCAGATAGGCAGCAAGCAATTATATCTTCTCCTCTTTCGCTCAGAAACCGCAAGAATATGAAAACCAGTAACACTGAGGCTGAAGTAACTAGATCAGTTATGATCAAGAGTAAGAAAAGCAACTGTACAGTTTCTCTTTAATTTGAACTTTTAGCTGCTTACCACTAGGTATCATGTATTGCTTCCACAAATTCCCAGTACTTTTCCGTGTATAAGACGCTATTTTTTCCTGCAAACACCCTGTTCAAAAATCAGGTGCATCTTATACAAGTGCAGCGTCTTATACACGAAAAAATAATGGTAACCTCCGCAACCCAGGGCATGCCTGTGTGGGTTCTTTACATGCCGCTGCCATGCAGCCTGGTGCAGGTGTCAAGCCCCTGTGGGCTTGCCACTAATGGGAGGGGAGAGAGGGCAAGATCGTCGGATGGCGGCGTCTGGAGGCAGCGGATGGGACCAGCAGCATGGATGGCAGCAACAGCCCTTTCCCTCCCTTGTTCCTGTATGCTGGCCAGGGACCCTGTGGAACACAGCTGCGAGGCCGTCCTGCTCGATAATAGCGGCCGGCCGAACTTCTGGATTTGCCAGCTCAGCTGTTCGTCGCTCCACCAAACAGCTGATCAGCGCGGAGAAACAGCGGGGAGTTTAAAACCTGCCTTCGCTTCCCTTGCCTTGCCGTCATGCCGGTGCTCACGCCGGTTTGTTTACCAGAATCAGAAGGCTGCTGCTGTGAACTGACTATGCATGTTCATCGTGCCGGATGCTGACTAGGTGAGTGGGGAGTGGGGCCGGCCGGGAGGCGTCTATTTAGAGTGCTGGGAGGCAGTTGCTCCCAGTCCTCACTTTGTTTGCTGTAAGCTTGAAACTCGCATGCCAGAACATCTTATACAAGGGTGCGTCTTATACACGGAAAAATACGGTAATGCTGTGCAAGTTATGAATGTAGAATTTTAGTTCCTGTCATAAAAAGATCATTTGGTAGGGAACAAAGCATCAGGAGGAATGTTTTTAATACTCTTCCTATCAGCCAATTTTCCATTCCAAATTATTTCCATTTTTCAACTTGATATGAAGTACCATGTTTCCCCAAAAGTAAGACCTAACCCGAAAATAAGCCCTAGCTTGATTTTTGGGGGTGGGCCTAATATAAGCCCTATCCTGAAAATAAGCCCTAGTTTTGGGGTGAGGCACATGCCTAAAAATCAACCTAGGGTGGGGATAGGGCTGTGGAGCTTACCATTGCAGCCAGGCCTCCCATGGATCGACACTTGCCTTGCCTCAGCCCACTTCTTCTGCAGCCAAAGGAGCAACTTCATTCTGCAGCTGAGAATGGAGCTCTGGCCTGCATTTCGCAGTCAGAGACCTTTCCATAGCTCGGTTCTCGGCTACAGAGGCCTTTCCAAAAGGCCTGTGACTGCGAAATGCAAGCCGGAGCTCCATTCTCAGCTGCAAAATTAAGCTGCTTCTTCAGCCGCAGAAAAAGTGGGCCAGCTGGGTGGGGCTGTCACTGCAAGGTGAGTGGAAAAGACCCCCACCCCCAAAAATAAGACCTGATGCCTCTGTTGGAGGCAAAAAAAATAAATAAATAAGACCGGGTCTTATTTTCAAGGAAACACAGTAGATTATTAGGCAAGGAAAGTGTCATCCCAATATTTCATATTATTTCACATTCTTCGCTCTTGCACCTTAACTGCTTTTGAACAAAAAAAGGAGGGCCTTTTGTAAGTTACAAATGTTTGTATTATATTTAAATATTTTTTATTATTATTATTATTATTATTATTATTATTATTATTATTATTATTATTATTATTATTATTATTTCAATTTGTATCCCGCCCTTCTCCCGAAGGACTCAGGGCGGCTCACAACATTATTCTAAAAACAAAGACAACCCACAAACCCCACCGGATAAAACCAAATTAAGACCAATATTTTATAGTTGTGATAATTAAAATTTCTAAGAAACCCAATTTAAAATCCTCCCTAGGCCAGNACATTAAGCTTCTGGAGGAGAGGTAAGATGTAATTTTAATAAAAACTGGGTAATGAATAAGAATCCTCCTTTACCATTCTTTCTCTCACACAGTCTGCCTGGGCTGCTTCCAAGCGAGCTTTATAGTGTTCACAATCCATTCTCAATTGTTCCAGTTCATTAGCTTTCTTTTCTACAACTAAAAATAGAGGACCACAAGCAAAACAATGAAAAACAAATCAAGTCATTCAAATACTACACTTAAACTGCAACAATCAGCAAATCACGCTATATAGAAGAAAGTAACAAATATGGTGAAAAGCTTGAAAACCAAATCCTTCAAGGACAGGTTTAAGTAGTGTGTATATTTAACCTTAACCAAATGATAGTATGTCAGACATTTGTGTGTATATTTAACCTTAACCAAATGATAGTATGTGTGTATATTTAACCTTAACCAAATGATAGTATGTCAGACATCTTCAAATATTTGAAGAGCAGTCATATATAGGACAAAACAGTTTTATTTTCTTGTTGTGTGTATTACTTAAACTAGTAGGTTTAATTTATAAAAACAGACATTTTTCTTAAACTTTATTAAGAACTCAATTTGTATAAGCTGTTTGACTGAGAAACAGGCTACCTGATAAACTAATGGATCATTCTTAGAGATTTTCAAGCAGTGACTACAATATAAGGTCACCTATTTAGTATGTTTAACACACGGGCGTCAAACTCAAATTGTATCGTGACATATCGTGATGTTTTTTGCCTTTGCGGAGCCAGGGTGGGCGTGGCCTGCATGTGATGTATCCAGCCCGCAGGCTGCCAGTTTGACACCCCTGCTTTAGCAGGACCTTGTAAGTATACACATTTGGTAAACAAACATTAGCTAAACTGCCAATTCTGTGCTTTTCAATCTTTCATTATCTTACAAATCACTTGGGGGGGGGCAGAAGAACAAGAAGTTTTTTTTTAATATGCTCTCAAATATAAACAAGTAACTTCAGGAAAATGATGGTGGCTGGTCCTGCAAGAACAGGATAATCATAGATCAACACATGTTCTAAACTGTTATCAGTCTGAATCCATGTCATGGATTCAGAGCTGTGGTGGTACAGTGATTAGAATGCAGTATTGCAGGCTGATTCCACCCACTGCCAGGAGTTTGATCCTGAACTCAAGGTTGACTCAGCCTTCCTTCTTTCTGAGGCTGATAAATATAAGTATATACAGCTTAGAGAGTGCTGTAAAGCATTATGAAGTGATATACATAAGTCTAAGTGCTATTGCTATTATATTTGGCTCAGATAGGCAATTATATATATTTGGCTCAGATAGGCAATTATATCTTCTCATCTTTCGCTCAGAAACTGCAAGAATATGAAAAACAGTAACACTGAGGCTGTTATGATCAAGAGTAAGAAAAGCAACTGTACAGTTTCTCTTTAATTTGAACTTTTAACTGCTTACCACTATGTATCATGTATTGTTTCCACAAATTTCCAGTGGAAAACATACCGTACTTTTCCGTGCATAAGACGGTATTTTTTCCTGGAAACACCCTGTTCAAAAATCAGTTGCGTCTTATACAAGTGCAGCGTCTTGTGGGCTTGCCACTAATGGGAGGGGGGAGGGGGCAAGATCGTCAGATGGCGGCGTCCAGAGGCAGCAGATGGGACCAGCAGCATGGATGGCAGCAACAGCCCTTTCCCTCCCTCGTTCCTGTATGCTGGCCAGGGACCCTGTGGAACGCAGCTGCGAGGCCGTCCTGCTCGATAATAGCAGCCGGCCGAACTTCTGGATTTGCCAGCTCAGCTGTTCGGCGCTCCACCAAACAGCTGATCGGTGCAGAGAAACAGCGGAGAGTTTAAAACCTGCCTTTGCTTCCCTTGCCTTGCTGTCATGCCGGTGTTCACGCCAGTTTGTTTACCAGGGTCAGAAGGCTGCTGCTGTGAACTGACTATGCATGCTCATCGTGCCGGATGCTGGTTAGGTGGGTGGGGAGTGGGACCAACTGGGAGGCGTCTATTTAGAGTGCTGGGAAGCGGTTGCTCCCAGTGCTGACTTTGTTTGCTGTAAACTTGGAACTCGCATGCCAGAATGTCTTATACAAGGGTGCGTCTTATACACGGAAAAATATGGTAATACCATGCAAGTTATGAATTTAGAATTTTAGTTCCTCTCATAAAAAGATCATTTGGTAGGGAACAAAGCATCAGGAGGAATGTTTTTAATACTCTTCCTATCGACCAATTTTCCATTCCAAATTATTTCAATTTTTCAACTTGATATGAAGTACCATGTTTCCCCAAAAGTAAGACCTACCCCAAAAATAAGCCCTAGCTTGATTTTTGGGGGTGGGCCTAATATAAGCCCTATCCTGAAAATAAGCCCTAGTTTTGGGGCGAGGCACATGCCTAAAAATCAACCTAGGGTGGGGATAGGGCTATGGAGCATACCATTGCAGCCAGGCCTCCCATGGATCGACACTTGCCTTGCCTCAGCCCACTTCTTCTGCAGCCAAAGGAGCAACTTCATTCTGCAGCTGAGAATGGAGCTCTGGCCTGCATTTCGCAGTCAGAGACCTTTCCATAGCTCGGTTCTCGGCTGCAGAGGCATTTCACTGCGAAATGCAGGCCGGAGCTCCATTCTCAGCTGCAGAATTAAGCTGCTTCTTCAGCCGCAGAAGAAGTGGGCCAGCTGGGTGGGGCTGTCGGGGCTGTCACTGCAAGGTGAGTGGAAAAGACCCCCACCCCCGAAAATAAGACCTGGTGCCTCTGTTGGAGGCAAAAAAAATAAAATAAGACCTGGTCTTATTTTCGAGGAAACACAGTAGATTATTAGGCAAGGAAAGTGTCATCCCAATATTTCATATTATTTCACATTCTTCACTCTTGCACCTTAACTGCTTTTGAACAAAAAAAGGAGGGCCTTTTGTAAGTTACAAATGTTTGTATTATATTTAAATATTTTTACTATATTCCTGCCTTGAATACAGAATATTCAGAAAAATAAAAAGCAGAATACAACCTAACAAACAATACTAACAATTGTCTTGCTTTCATAGAATATTCAATACTATTCTATGAATTAACTGTGGTTAATATAGGAGAACTTACTTGTTTCAAGAGCATCCAGTTTCTGAAAGCTTTCTAAGATATCACTATTCAATATCTTGGGCAGAATGTCATGCAACTGCATTACTTCAGTTGTCAACCTCTCCAAAGCTCTCTTTTTGACCTTAACAAATTTAACTTCTACTTCCGTTTTCTGCAACAGAACAAAACAATTTTCCCCTTTTTTCTCTCTCTGCTATTCAACAAATGTTTTTAACAACAAACTTTATTTCTTTATTGTTACATTTTGGGCTATATTAACCATAGTTTTCATATATTGTTTGAATTTATACATTTCAGAAGTATTAAATATATACACTTATATATAAATATATAAAAGAACAGATGGAAGGTGAGTATTTAGGTGAAAAAAGAACATTGAGAAATTAACCTGTCTTTGGATAAATTCTGCATAGGCAAGTGAACCGTAACAGTACGCATTTATTTTAGCTGGGAAGAAGCATTCATCTTATAAGAAATCTACATATACAGCATACAATGCTGAAAAAGCAGTTAGTTTTACATACAAGACAACTTGCTCCCCCATTTAGTTTTGAAAAGATTGAGAACTTTAACATCCATTTTATTTAGTACAATTTAACATTACATTCACACATAACTTTTCGTTAGCTGTAACTTGCTGAAAACAAGCCATCTTAGCAAATTACATAAGGTAACTTAGTTCAATACACAATAGTTAAAAAACCAACTGATATCTTCTAAGCCATTCATTAAAAACAGGTATTATACACACACACACACACATATTCAGCCACAGTAACCATACACAAGTGCTCACCTTCCATGAATGTGTCTGGTTCAGTACTATATTTCAGAAAACTGTATATTATTAGCATTAAAACGGTGGAATGAATTATTTTACATACCAGACTAGGTGTTTTTATTTGCTCCTTTATTACATTTATTTCTAAGCAAACACGCTTAAGACCATATCCTTAAAATACACATCAGTTGATACAAAATCCTTTTTAAGCGCCTCAGGAGTCAACAATTACAGCGACTCACTAAATCAGGGGTAGGCAACCTCGGCTCTTTTATGACTCATGGACTTCAACTCCCAGAATTCCTGAGTCAGCTATGCTGACTCAGGAATTCTGGGAGTTGAAGTCCATGAGTCATAAAAGAGCCGAGGTTGCCTACCCCTGCACTAAATTAACCTGTTCGCACAACGCACGGTGCTGTCAATAACCACCCTTGAATGTTGTGAGAATTCAGCCGCCGCTGTATTCACATTGTTGTAGGATTGCCCGTCTCTGGATGCATGAAATAAAAAAAACCCGAGAAAAGCGCCTCACAATTTTTATCACTACCATAATGTGGCTGATGGGAGGGGGGATAAGAATCACCCCCCCTGCCGCCGCCTCCTAAAGTGAGGGGGAACGGCTCATTTCGAGCGTAGGATCGAGAATCTCGCGGGAGAACAAAACCAGCGCTTTCCGCTACCTGCTGTCCGCCCCCTGAGCTGCCAGGGCTGGCTGAGCTCCCGCGCTTCATCTCAACACGCGATCAAGAAAAGGACGCCGGCCCCTTTCAGTCTCGCTCCGCATCACGTGACAGTCATCTTGCGGCTGCGTCAACTCTCGAAAGTCGCCAGGCGTCGGGACTCTTTTGCCGCTCTATATTGTTATCTCGGTGGTTAAAAAAGTCAGTCTCTTGCGTTGGAAGTTCCAATTGGTAACCCTGTTAATAAAACTTTGCTTCTGGTCACCGATTTGATTCGGCCGGGATCTCCTAACTTTGGAGAGGTGATCTCTCGGTGTAACTGTGAGAACATGTTAAACTCCATGTATGATAAGATATTTGTTTATTGAAACCACTATCCTTTAAGATATAAAGAACCTTTCTAATTGGGCATATTTATGGTGAATCGTAATTCCATCCCCCCACACACACACACACACAAATGACGCTAAAGAATAACGCTTACTTTAAAGGCAGCACAATAATCCCCTACCCAAAAAGCATTTTGTTTAGTGTCCCACCTTTATGAATTTTACAAATAACTAAGGTGACCAACTTTTTTACAATGAGGTAGGGTTGCCAGGTGTCCACTATCTGAGTGGACAGTCCACTTTTTTCACATTATGTTCAGTATTTTTTTTCACAAAATAGTGAACATAATGTGAAAAAAGTGGACTGTCCACTCAAATAGTGGACACCTGGCAACCCTACCTCATTGTAAAAAAGTGGACATTTTTTTTATTCAAAAGCTTTATGATGAAATGGTGCGTAATCTAAAGCTGTACAGTCTACTTTGTTTACTACTTAACCTCCCCCCCCCCGCTTGTCCACTATTTTTTGGAAACAGACCTGGCAACCCTACAATGAGGACACAAATAAATTGAAGAAAAAAATATCATAAATAAAACATTTTATTCATTGCAACAATACAGAATACACTATATGACAAATGCATAATAAAAAACATTTGTAGCAATAACATTTTATATTGTAATTATGCTTACCTGCCTATTATTATTTAAACGAGTACAAAAGAAGGACTGTCCTCCCTAAAGGAGGACGATTGGCCACCTTAATAACTCAAGGTAGTGAATATATCTTTTTCCTATTTTTCCCCACAACAATAATCTTGTGAGGTAAGTTGGGCTGAGAGAGAATGACTGACCCAAAGTTAATCAACTGGTTTTCATCACTGTTCTGCAATGTAACATCTTAGCGTTACAGACTGTGTTTGCACAAAACAACATAAAGTAACTACCCTGATGAGATCATATTAATGCCAATCATAGTATCCCCACAATATGCCTGGAACTCAGTTATGTCACTATTCTGCCCAGCTCTATTGTGTGGCACTGTAAAGTAGTTGGCACTTTCCCTGGTTGAAATTCCCATCTCATCCAACATCATTTTGGAAATTGCAGGAAAAGTTGCCACCAGTCACCAAAAAATATATAGTGTTTGTATAATTCAACTGCTCTGTCCATATTTTTGGGGGGGGGGGCAAAGGATTATTTGCCAACTAACCACTTGGCGAGAACAGAGTTACTTGTTTTCTGTTTCTTAGCTAATGGTTAACTAATGGTTGTCTAGATTTCTGTAGTCCAGATAGTCTTGATAAAAGTTTGGATGTGTATAGGGAAAAGATGTTAAGATGTGGAGAACTGTCATATTTTTATTATAATATAAGACAGCAAGTATTCTGTAGGTCAATAGGTTGATCTTTCCTCTAAAACAAAGTAAATAAAGTGGCTGTAAAAGCTAGGATTCCAGCCCCACTTGGAGCCAAAACAACAAAAAGCAAAACTCTACTACTACTGCCAATATTAGAAGTAACTTTACTTTTTGATTTCTTGGTTTGATCTACATAGTGAGGCTGACAGCGATTTCTCAAATCAGACTTTGCCTTACTGCACATAACCCTCCTTATACTTGTGGGAATTGGGTGTCTGCCTGAGTCAATTGGGTATACGGTAACTTCTTGTTTTGACCACGTCATGGTTTCTGCTTCAGTAACAGATCTGACTTATTTCAGTCAAGGTTATCTTCCTCACTCTCCACAAGTACTGACAAGAGTTTGGACACCATTCTGCTTTGGCAATAGAAATTCTGCACATTGAAACTCAGGGAGATGGGGTAAAGAATGTCTTCTTTGAGGCCAGTTACTGGCAGAAGTTTCATGTATCTGCACCTGCTAGTTTTCTGATCTTATGTGTGGGATTGGTGAATGGCTACCAAGGAAGCGATTTATCACAACTTCTCTCCTGCTTACTTCTTTTCCTTTGGTTCTTCTGCCATTCACAGCAACAGAAACAAAGGAAAAGAAGAATACAGAGGTGAAAATGGCAGGAAAAAAGAAAGTTCAGCTATCTCCAGCATTTGAGAACCTACTGTGCTGAAGTGATGGGGCAGTTTTTGTATTGTGCTATACTGTATTGTATTGTTTAGGCATCATCCTCATGCATACAGCTTTGATAATGCAGTACCTCAGATTGGAAGAGAGGGAGGAATTTTTTTATCCAACAGGCTGCCATGGTATTTTCACAGGCTGAAGAACTGCTTCCACCAATTCCAATTAGGAGTAAGTGTACCTTTTCTGTGCTGGGCTAAAAAGACCTGCTTCCCCTTTTTGTCTCCCCATTTCTATTAGCCATGAGTTGGGAAGTTAACGGGAGAAATGGCTCTATGGAATCTTATCTGTCTCTTCCCAAGGAAAGGCAAACAGTTTGGGGAGATTCCTGTAGGTAGAATTGCAATAAAGTAATCAACTTGAATTCTTCATGTATTGATCTATTGCTTGGCCCTGCCACTATATTACTATAGAAATCTAACTCATTATGGCGAAAAAATGGGGAAGGAAAAAAAGAAAAAAACATATATTGAACTAATAGAGAAGGAAAAATTCCCTAAAGGAAAAAAAAAATAAAAAACAAAAATAAAATCCTATAAGCAGCTAGGCAAATCTCAAAACTCAAAAAACCCACCTAAATTCTGATGGTTCATTTAGGGAAATATAACTGGATCTCACACTATTACCAATTATATAACTTTAATTTTTCCAACATTTTGATTCAATCTTTAAACAATTAATACTTTACTATTTTTGTTATTGTTTTAATTGTATGACATGGGCAGCTATAAAAATAATTAAGTATTGTCTGGTTTTTCAGGTTTCATTCAGTAAAGAGCTGATTCAAAGGATGAGAGATGATAGATTTTGTTAAGACATTAGGGGTCTAGGTCTAGGATGTAAATATTAATCACCTTTTCTGCAATGGTCCAAGTTCAATAAATCAAAAATTCTTTATACATTGAAAGGTTCCAAATTTGAAGGATATAATTTAATAAAACATTAACATTTTAAATCCTTAAATAGCTCTGAGGAATCTGGGTGATTATAACAACTAATCAAAATGGAACTGTATATAGCAGACCTTAGAAATTTATTACATCATCAGCATAAAAAAGAGAGCCAACTTTTAAGAAACATTTTCTGACATGTCAAATATATTCTAAAGGTTTTTTTTTTCCAGAATTGACATTTTACACCATAAGAAACTATGTATATTGGATTGGGCAATATATAAAATTTCTATTCTCTATTCCAAATGTTTATCTATATGGTATCCCAACTCAATCCATATGACTAGTTTATAGTTTGTTGGGCTGTACAGATTGAGAAGTATTTAATCAAATCACTATAAAAAGCATTCAGGACATTTCTTTTTCATGGGCTCATATGAAATTACATTACATTACAATAATTTTTATAATGAAACTTTTTAGTTTAGAGGTTTCTTATTTTACCTTATGATATCTAATTGTAATATATTGTTCCATTTATTTTATTCTACAAAAGTCCTGCTGTTACAACTGCGTAATAAATTTAAGTATTACTATTTACCTGAAAATATTTTTCTCCAAAAATAAATTTCAAAATATAACACTAATCTTTGCGGACAATGTGGTAATATAGATTTCTTCCTAAACTTGTAACAGAAGACACTTAAATTCTGGTCAATTTCAAGTAAAGACAGTAATGGAACATTTCGTACTTTTCATCTCCATTGTAAGCTACACTGTCAGCTTGGCTATACAAACAGAAGCTTGTTAACAGAAGTAAATATTGGCGCGAAACACAAGGCGTAAATGCCTGCGTGTCTAAAAACTACATTGCCTTTGCAAGTCAGATTCCGGGGCATTTCTTATCTTCTCTTGATTTGCTAGTTACATTAAGGTTTATTTTAACAACTTCCTCATATCTTTTAGAATCTAGCCCAGGGGTAGGCAACCTTGGCTCTTTTATGACTCGTGGACTTCAACTCCCAGAATTCCTGAGCCAGCATGGCTGGCTCAGGAATTCTGGGAGTTGAAGTCCACGAGTCATAAAAGAGCCAAGGTTGCCTACCCCTGATTAGCCGCTTGGCTACTATTAATGTTACCTTAAATGTGTGCGACACACTTTGCCCGTGACGTCATTCACGGGCGCCGGAGAGCGTCTGGGTTCAGGCCAATCTAGCTGCGCCTCCTGTTCGGAAAGAAGGACGTGGTTGTTGGGGGATTATGGCTCCTGCTGCTCTCGTCTCTGCTGGGCAACCTCCTGAGATCCAATTTGCTCAGAGGTTGGCCTCGAACGAGAAACGGATTCGGGATCGGGCGCTGAAAAAGCTACGTGGCTACATCACGCTCAGGACCCAGAGTCTAGAAGGTAAGGTTGGAGAAGCACGTGGGACAAAATAGCGTGTCAGGCCAGCGGTGAAGACGAAAATACACGTGTTTGTTATTGGTAAACACGGGAAGGACCATCTCCAAAGCGATAGGAGCAAAAGATGCATTAAGATGCTGTTTATATGAATAACAAGTTACATGCTTGCTACATTTAACTGTTAATATGACAAATTGATATTTGTATGATTGCACAATTATACATAGTTCTCTGTTAACTGTATTTTTGAAAAATGGACATTTGTATGATTGTACTTAATTATGCATAATTCTTGGCTAATAAGTGGGTCTTTTCCATCACTTAAGCAGTTGCAGTGCAAGTTTCGATTTACTTTTTTAAATAATAATTTCCTTTTGTGCTATAGGTTGCTTCAGTCAAGAAGAATTGTTAAAAATATGGAAAGGATTATTTTACTGTATGTGGATGCAGGATAAACCTCTCTTGCAGGTATGTTATATGGAGTTGGAAAGGATCACAGGATCATTTAGTCCAGGGTTTCTTAATTGGCAGATCCACAACCCTTTGAGGGTCCATGGATAGTTTTCACAATGCCTGAATTTATAAGGGGGGAAATATAACTTTATTTTCATATATATTGTGATATTACATATTTTTAATATTTGATCATTGCATTTGAGCATAATTGATATCCATAGATTTCACCAGACTCTCAGAGGCCAAAAAAATTAAGAACTTCTGATCTAGTCCAACCCCCTTTGATGTATAAGAAAGCTAATTACATTAAAGTTAAATATCCCATGAGATATGACTATCCAGCTTTTGAAAGCCTTAAGAGATGGAAAATCCTCGGTTGCATAGATTGATTACTCCATTATACAGCCAGTACAGATCTTACTAATAGGAAAATTACTCTTATACTTAGACAAAAGAGCTGTAGCTTATATCCATAACCAATCCTAGTTTCTGTGGAATAAAAAATTTATCCTTTTGCTTGTCTGAATCTTGTCTCACAGTTTTCGCCAGGCTAAACATACCAAGTTCCTTCAGTCTGTCCTCACAGGGCATGTCAGCAAGACCCTGTATCACTTTTGTTGCTCTCATCTGAACCTGTTGTAACCTGCCAAAGTCCTTCTAGAAATATGATGCTTAGAATCATGCATAATATTCAGATGTAGTGTCTCCAGTGCAAAAGTAGAGGGGGATAAGGACTTCATTACATCTTTGTTACAGTATTTCTTCTGATACATTCCAGAATTGTGTCACTATTTCTAGAGATTGCTTTACACTAATGGCTCACAACTTGTCCTCAATTCAGCATATGCCTTATATTTTTCCTTACTAAATGAACAGGTAGTTCTCAACTTACAACTATTTGTTTAGTGACTGTTCAAAGTTACAATGGCACCGAAAAAAGTGACTTATGACTGTTTTTCACACTTACAACCATTGCAGCATTTCCCTGGTCATGTGATCAAAATTTGGATGCTTAATAACTGGCATGTATTTATTTCTGTTAGTGTCCCAGGGACATATGAGCAGTCAAAATGAATACAAGTTGGCCTGCTTTATTTGTTCTGATATCTTTCCAGGTATAACTGGAAAGTACTCTTGGTTATTCCCATTTAGAATTTCTGAGGTTTTTTTAAAAATACACGATCATGAAATTTACTTTTAAAGCTGTGCTGTATTGTACTGTTTTTTATTATTATGGGAAACCAGGAGAAAAAAGAAGTCAGTGAATCTTAGTTGCTTTATAGAGGTAGTCCTCAACTTACTACCACAATTGGGACCATAAATTGTTGCAGTCATAAGTTGAAACATCCTGTGACTACTGGATTTTTCAGCCATTGTAATGATTTTTCAGCCATTCATAAGTCAAGTCATGCAGTCGTAAGTGCAAATCCAGCTTAATTAATGGTGTTTTTGCCACTTTTTATCGAAAACCAGCAAAAACGTGTCAAACATTGTGATGACATGACCATGGGACACTGCACCTGGTTGTAAATGTGAGCTGGTTATCGAGCACCTGAATTATGATCACATGACTACAAGGGCAGGGTAATGGTCGTAAATTCAAATTTACATTGTAATTGACTTTGGGGGCTGTTGTTAATTCAAGCCATCATTAAACAATGGCTGTAAGTTGAGGAATACCTGTAAAACCTTTTTGTATAAATTTTTACAGCTATCTTAATGCAGCTATATTAAATTCAGTATTAGGATACTGCGTAATATATGCTCATCTGTTAGTCATTTATAGATGTGAGGGAAGTATGTATTCATTGATATTCATAATAATTTACTTGCATTCTATGCCACCTACTCCTTGGAATTCCAGGCAACAATAATATTGATGGGGTCAATAAACAGGTATTTTGATTATTGTCCCAGCATTTTTAGTTCACTTCCACAGGCTGAAATAGACAGATTTTTTTATGTCGAAACATTGAATTCATACCTGAGATGATATTCTTCTTGAGACATGATGATGATATTCTTCTTGAGACATGATAAACTTATGTCAGCCTTTCCAAGCCTATTGTTTTTCAGTTTTGTTTAGACAGCAGCTCTTATCATCCCAGTTAGCATAGCTAGTGCCAATTTGGGAAGGCCCTCTGCAGTTGAACCATTAAAAATATGGTTCATATATTTAAGCCATTACATCTGTTTATGTTTTAAAAGATTATTTTCTGACTATTTGTATAATAAATTATTTATTGATTCTGTCTTAACTTATTACCAGTTTTTAAAGTAATTAACCATTCTGGTATATTAATGTTCTGAATACTAAAATCTGAAATATAAACATTCTATCAAGGCTTATCCACAGAAGTATAAATTAAGAGTCTCATGATCACATATGAGACTGCTTGATTTAGGAAACGTCTGCATGTTCTATCTTCAGTGTCAGGTTGTCGTATTTAACTATGGCAGAGGAGCTTAATCAAGCTCAAATTGTATTGGTGCTTATATTATACCCATCATCAGTTTTCTATATTTAAGGAAGATCTGACAGCAAGCTCAGTTTTCTGAGAAGGGTATTTTCTGAATATTATACTGATAGGAATCTACTTTTGTGACATTATTACTAAACACAATTCTAACTTTCCAGGAGGAGTTGTCAAATAATATATCACAGCTAATCCATTTAATCGAGAATATGGATACTCGTAAGTCTCTTTATTTTTATTTCTTTTATGTTCAGGAGCTCATATCCAAGGCTTTATATTGCAGAGAGAAACAATGCAAGGAAGAAACAGGTTTTGGAGCCAGAAGTTTATTTTGTGGAGATTTATCCTGAAACAGCAACAGCAGCAATTATATTTCTAGCACATAACATTCTGGAGCATAGTATAGTATAGCAAGCTAGTATTTACTGCAGGCTAGCATATTAATATTAATATGAAGGATTAAATAGCAACAGAATTTAGATTCTATATAGTGTTATGGTCTAGAAGTAGCAACAACAAATCTCAAATTTTGTTGTTTTAAAAAAGGGCTTAGATATTTTTAAACAAAGCTATTAATTGCTACTTGTCATAACTTTATCTTACTGCATCTCTGAACACAAACTGCTGAGAAATATAGGTAGGCAGATTCTGTTGTGTCCCTCTCCGTACTTTACTACTCATAGGGGTTGGTTAACTGCTGTGGAGGTGGAATAGTAATCTGGACAGGCCTTTGGTGTAATGTTCTCTGAGAACAGGTGGCAAGAAAAGAGAATACAAAAAAACAGGTTTGCCCATTCTCAGCTTTGGCACTATCTATGCCAAGATTTCAGGTCAGGTGGATCAGCCCTAAGACAATTCAGTGTTTAAGGTAAAAAAAGGTCCCTTTCTCTTTCTGAAAACAGAAAACTTCCTTTGGTGTGTCTGCTGCTCGGACTCTTAAAGATTAGTTTTTCCATCACTTATGAAAGGTGACTGGAATTTAAACATTATATCTATTATCTCAAAACAGGACACTTGTTCATTCAGACTTTCTGGCAAACTGTGAATCGTGAATGGAACGGATTAGACCGATTGCGGCTAGATAAATTTTACATGGTAAAGTTAAATTCTTCTTCCCGTTTTAAAAGTTTCTTGGGAAAAAGCATGGAAAATATCCAGGGATATATTGTTCTACAACAAAAGATTCACTTTCAGAAATGGGATTGGTAATATTAACATCTATTTAAAATGCATTTTCTCATTTAAATGTACTATTGCCATATGTTTATATTCTTATAAAATAACCTTCCTAAGCAAAAGTACAAATTCATTTTAAAAGAACTTCTAAATCATAGTTAGGACATGTTGTTAATTTTAATCCAGATTTCATTTCAGTTCCTTTTTTATTTATTTGAATAATTAATGTACATCACATATAAGAGTAATGTAACTATGGCTGTTGGGTTTTTAGTATTTTATTATTTAGTGTAATTATGTTTAGGTTTTATTAATTTATTTACTGTTGGGATTCCAAATATTTGTATGTTAATGCATTCATAATGTTAATGTAGTATAAACAGTTATGAATCTTTGGTAGATTCTGTGATATAAAAATAGAAAAATATTCATGCCCTGTTATACAATTAAATTATTAATATTTTAGTCAAAACTAAGAAAAAAATTAAGCTAGCATTTACAGTTAAAATATCTATATAATCCTTCAAATAGGATTCCTAGTTCTTAAAAGCTTGTTCAGGTATAGCAAGAGATACGAATTATTTGAACAGGTAGACCTGGAGTTATGATACCTAATTCAGTGACCGTTATTACAATGGTACTGAATGAGGGGGACTTACAATCGTCCACACCATTATGGCTGTTGCAGTTCTCCAAGGTCACATAATTGCATTCTGGGTGCTCAGGCACTCGACTCGAGATTATGACATTGCAGCAAGCTACAGTCACAACTGCCTTTTTTGATCTTACCTACAGCTTCCCACAAAACAAAACAAAAATCAGTGGGGAAGCTGGCAGCGAAGATCATAAGTTGGTCCTGCCACTTTTTATCCCAAGGACCCCACTATGGAATATGAGAATTCAAGGACTTCATACTCAGTAGCACCTCCCTTGCTCTGTGGCATGCATACATCTTCTGCCAGCTCACTCTTGCTCCCTAGTACCTGCCTATGGCTTTTGTTAATCTGTCTGTGCTCCCTAGTGCGTACTCTTGGCACTTGCAAACTCCATGTACTCCTTACCTAAGACTGAGACCTACTGCTTTGTAAATAACAAGTTATTTACCAAAGTCATGGTAATGGGAATTCTATTGTTGTTTCCTAAACAAATGCTTAATTTGATCCATAATGTTCATATGACTGCTCTGCAGCTGTGCTTTTCAGAGATAATAGGAATGTATCTGGAAGATACCAGATTTGAGAAAATTGGTCTGGTCAGTTTCATAGATAGATTTTCATGGTATTTAGGAAATTGAAACTGTTGAAGTGTTATAAAATGGAACATGCAATCTAGAGCCTATGCTATACCTCAACTTCCATATCATTAGTCAGTTTAGCAGTTGGCAAAAATGTTCATTTGAAGGAATGTGGTAGCTTAATGATCCTTGGTTCACTTAACAACCTTGGTGGCTGATTTTATGGCTGTCATAAAAACAGTTGTAAAGTCAAGTCAGGTGACATGATAACCCACATAATGATTGTAACAACTTATGACCAAAATTCTGGGCTCAGTTGTGGTCGTTAAGTGAGAACTACCTGTACCTCCTTTCCCATTGTAAAAATGCTGTCCAGCATTCAGTGAATGAATAAGGTGACTGGAATTTAAACATTGGACTTGTCTTTCTCACTCCTGTTTTCTCACTTATGGACCACAACCAAGACCTTTATTCCCCTCAGAAACAGTGGATGCACAGAAATTCACTGTGCATTCAGCCAACATAGCATTGGATCTTAAATTCATAACATGCTAACAAACAGTTCCTCCGTGAGGGGTAAAATTTAGCCTAAAATGTGTAAAGAACATCCCTGTGTTATTCCAAGTTCTTTCAATACATTAAGTGCTGCCCTATAAACTTAATAACATGATTGGAAAAAATGTGTGCATCTTTTTTTTCTAACCTAGTTGATCCGCATGATGCTGAGGCAGTCCTTTGAAGTTCTGAAAAGAAATGAGTGGAATGAAAGGTAGGCCATGTCTGTTGTTTGTATATTGTGCCAGTCTTGTGTGCTTTTGATTTTTATCATTATATGTATCTCACCATCACATTTGGAAATCATGTTTTATGGTGCACCTAGTTTTGTAAATCAGGCTGTGGTTTAGCATGATAGATATATGCATTGATTTCTGTGAGATCAATATTTACCTGCTTAATTACCAAACAGAACATTTCATCTGTTAAAAATGATCTCTGCATGACATTTCTTTTAACTGACTGTTCGATGAACATCAATCATCTGCTCATTGATTTAATCTCATATGATCTACAGGTAGTCCTCAACGTATGATCATTCATTCAGTGACCATTCAAAATTGCAGTGGTGCTGAATGAAGGGACATAAAAACCTATACTCAAAGTTATGGCCACTACAGCTCCCTCACGGTCACATGATGAAAATTTGACAGCTTGGCAATCTGCCTGCTCTTACAACTGATCACAGGGACACTGCAGTTGTCTCCACTAGTTATCTTTCCCATCATCCTACGCTTCCAGGTCGCTTGGGGTTGCTTCTCACCTAGCTGAGTCCCCACAGGCCTTGGGCCTGCTTTCTGCACCATTGGATCTCACCGCCTTGGTCCTTCTTGCCTTATTATGTCTTGCTATACTTACCTCTTCCAGTGATTGCCTTTCCAAACGACAGCCAGACCAATGTAACTGTTTCCAGGGACCACGTGTGAACTGGGGAAAAGCTGCCATCCTGGAAGTGGGTACCATTTGTGGAATCTCTCAAAAGAGTGCAATTTTCCATGTTGGCACCCACTTCCAGAATGGTGCAAGGTAGCCTCTGCAGGAAGGCTGCACATCACATCAGCTGGGCATTCTTTTGGAAAGGTGATCTTCAAAGAGGTACCGTATTTTTCGCTCTATAAGACGCACTTTCCCCCTCCCCCAAAAGATGGGGGAAAATGTCTGTGCGTCTTATGGAGCGAATGCCGCCTCCCACCGCGCCGCTCCACGTCCCGCGCCTCCGTGTTTCAAGCCTCTGTGGCACAGAACTGCTGGCGTTATGCTTGGGCGGAAGACGTTTTCTTTTACAGATGGGGTGGGTGGGCCTGACATTCGCGCGCAGGCAGGACCCCGCCCGCCGAGCCACCGCTTCCCCATCCCCCTCCACGCCAGCCGGCTCCGGCTCCAGACCTCCCAGCTTACGGGCGCAGGTCCGGGGCTCGCCAGCTGACAGGCACAGGAGGTAGGTGCCGCCGCGGCCTCCCAACCGCGCCGCCGCGGCCTCCCAGTCGCTTGCTTCTTCGGCTGGAGCGACTGCAAGGGCGTGCATGGTCCCGAAGGGCCGCTGACGCGCTCCCCGCCGCCGGCGACCATGCAACCCCTTGCATGGTCGGGTGGGCCTGACATTCGCGCGCAGGATTCGCGCGCGCCTACCTCTTGCGCCCGCCGAGCCACCGCTTCCCCATCGCCCTGCACGCCAGCCGTCTCCGTCTCCAGACCTCCCAGCTGACGGGCGCAGGTCCGGGGCTCGCCAGCTGACGGGCGCAGGAGGTAGGCGTCGCCGCAGCCTCCCAACCGCGCCGCCGCGGCCTCCCAGCCGCTTGCTTCTTCAGCTGGAGCAACTGCAAGGGCTTGCATGGTCCCCAAGGGCCGCTGACGCGCTCCCCGCCGCTGGCGACCATGCAAGCCCTTGCATGGTCGGGTGGGCCTGACATTCGCGCGCAGGATTCGCGCGCGCCTACCTCTTCCGCCTGCCGAGCCACCGCTTCCCCATCGCCCTGCACGCCAGCCGGCTCCATCTCCAGACCTCCCAGCTTACGGGCGCAGGTCCGGGGCTCGCCAGCTGACGGGCGCAGGAGGTAGGCGCCGCCACGGCCTCCCAGCCGCTTGCTTCTTCGGCTGCCTCCCGTCCTGCTCCCCCTCCCCACCTGTTCGGCCGAGGAGGCGATGGGGACGGCGGCCGGGAGGCGCTGCCTCCCGTCCTGCTCCCCCTCCCCACCCGTTTGGCCAAGGAGGCAATGGGGACGGCCGGGAGGCGCTGCCTCCCATCCTGCTCCCCCTTCCCTGCCCGTTCGGCCGAGGAGGCGATGGGGACGGCGGCTGGGAGGCGCTGCCTCCCATCCTGCTCCCCCTTCCCTGCCCGTTCGGCGCCGTCTGCCTTTCATTCTTTCTCTCTCCTAACCTGGAGGGAGAGGGAGGGAGAGAAAGAGAGAAAGAGGAAAGGAAGAGAAAGAGGAAAGAGAGAAAGAGGAAAGAGAGAGGAAGGAGGGAAAGAGAAAGAGACAGAGAAAGAGAGGAAAGAGGGAAAGAGGAAAGAAAGAGAAAGAAAAAAAGAAAGAAAGGGGAGAGGAAAGAGAAAAAGAGGAAAGAAGAGAGAGGAAAGAGAAAGAGAGAAAGGGAGAGGAAAGGGGGGAGAGGAAAGAGAAAGAAAGAGGGGGAGAGGAAAGAGAAAAAAGATTGAGAAAAGAGAGAGAGGAAAGAAGAGAAAGAGAGAGGAAAGAGAAAGGAAAGAGGAAAGATAGAAAGAGAGAGGAAAGAGGGAAAGAGAAAGAGAGGAGAGAGAAAGAGGAAAGAGAAAGAGGAAAGAGAGAGAAAGAGAGGAAAGAAAGGAAAGAAAGAGAAGAGGAAAGAGAAAGAGGAAAGAGAAAGAGAGGAAAGAGAGAAAGAGGAAAGAGAAAGAGAGACAGAGAAAGAGGAAAGAGAGAGAGAAAGTTAGAGGAAAGAGGAAGAGAAAGAGAGACAGAGGAAAGAGAGACGGACAGACAGAGACAGAAAGAAAGAGAGAGGAAAGAGAGAAAGTTAAAGGAAAGAGGAAGAAAGGAAAGAGAGAGGAAAGAGAGAAAGTTAAAGGAAAGAGGAAGAAAGAGGAAAGAGAAAGAAACAGAAAGAGAAAGTTAGAGGAAAGAGAGAAAGGAGAGGAAAGAGAGAGAAAAAGAGGAAAGAGAAAAAGAGAAAAAGAGGAAAGAGAGGAAAGAGAAAGAGAAAGGGAGAGGAAAGGGGGGAGAGGAAAGAGAAAAAGAGGAAAGAGGGAGAGAAAGGGAGAGGAAAGAGAAAGAGAGGAAAGAGAAAGAAAGGGGGAGAGGAAAGAGAAAAAAGATTGAGAAAAGAGAGGAAAGAGAAGAGAAAGGAAAGAGGAAAGAGGGAAAGAGAAAGAGAGACAGAGAAAGAGAAAAAGAGGAAAGAGGGAAAGAGAGGAAAGAGAGAAAGATAAAGGGGGAGAGGAAAGAGAAAAAGAAGAACGAAAAAAGGAAAGAGAAAGAGAAGAGAAAGAGAGACAAAGAGACCCTTTTGACATCTAAAATGAAGAGAACTCTGCATACGGTATATCTTTTTACCTTTATTTTATATATACACACACAGACAGACACACACACACACACATATATATTAAAGGTAAAAAAGGATATATGCAGTGTTATCTTCATTTTAGATAGAATATTTTTTTTCTTGTTTTCCTTGTCTAAAAACTATGTGTGTCTTATGGTCAGATGCGTCTTATGGTGCGAAAAATACGGGTAAGTGGAGGAAAGCATGATGGGCAGCAAGGAGGCCCAAAACTGTGGGACCCAGAAGCGTGGGAAGCAGGCCTGAGGTCAGTGTGAACCCAATAGGACCAGAAGCAGACCTGAGGCCTGTGAGGACTCAGCCAGGTGGGAAGCAAACCCAGGTTCTGTNCGCGCGCCTACCTCTTGCGCCCGCCAAGCCACCGCTTCCCCATCGCCCTGCACGCCAGCCGTCTCCGTCTCCAGACCTCCCAGCTGACGGGCGCAGGTCCGGGGCTCGCCAGCTGACGCGCGCAGGAGGTAGGCGTCGCCGCAGCCTCCCAACCGCGCCGCCGCGGCCTCCCAGCCGCTTGCTTCTTCGGCTGGAGCAACTGCAAGGGCTTGCATGGTCCCCAAGGGCCGCTGACGCGCTCCCCGCCGCTGGCGACCATGCAAGCCCTTGCATGGTCGGGTGGGCCTGACATTCGTGCGCAGGATTCGCGCGCGCCTACCTCTTCCGCCCGCCGAGCTACTGCTTCCCCATCGCCCTGCACGCCAGCCGGCTCCATCTCCAGACCTCCCAGCTTACGGGCGCAGGTCCGGGGCTCGCCAGCTGACGGGCGCAGGAGGTAGGCGCCGCCGCGGCCTCCCAGCCGCTTGCTTCTTCGGCTGCCTCCCGTCCTGCTCCCCCTCCCCACCTGTTCGGCCAAGGAGGCAATGGGGACGGCGGCCGGGAGGCGCTGCCTCCCGTCCTGCTCCCCCTCCCCACCCGTTTGGCCAAGGAGGCAATGGGGACGGCCGGGAGGCGCTGCCTCCCATCCTGCTCCCCCTTCCCTGCCCGTTCGGTCGAGGAGGCGATGGGGACGGCGGCTGGGAGGCGCTGCCTCCCATCCTGCTCCCCCTTCCCTGCCCATTCGGCGCCGTCTGCCTTTCATTCTTTCTCTCTCCTAACCTGGAGGGAGAGGGAGGGAGAGAAAGAGAGAAAGAGAGAAAGAGGAAAGGAAGAGAAAGAGAGGAAAGAGGAAAGAGAGAGGAAGGAGGGAAAGAGAAAGAGACAGAGAAAGAGAGAAAAAGAGAGGAAAGAGGGAAAGAGAGAGGAAAGAAAGAGAAAGAAAAAAAGAAAGAAAGGGGAGAGGAAAGAGAAAAAGAGGAAAGAAGAGAGAGGAAAGAGAAAGAGAGAAAGGGAGAGGAAAGGGGGGAGAGGAAAGAGAGAAAGAAAGAGGGGGAGAGGAAAGAGAAAAAAGATTGAGAAAAGAGAGAGAGGAAAGAGAAGAGAAAGAGAGAGGAAAGAGAAAGGAAAGAGGAAAGATAGAAAGAGAGAGGAAAGAGGGAAAGAGAAAGAGAGGAGAGAGAAAGAGGAAAGAGAAAGAGGAAAGAGAGAGAAAGAGGAAAGAAAGGAAAGAAAGAGAAGAGGAAAGAGAAAGGGAAAGAGGAAAGAGAAAGAGAGAAAGAGGAAAGAGAAAGAGAGACAGAGAAAGAGGAAAGAGAGAGAGAAAGTTAGAGGAAAGAGGAAGAGAAAGAGAGACAGGAAAGAGAGACGGACAGACAGAGACAGAAAGAAAGAGAGAGGAAAGAGAGAAAGTTAAAGGAAAGAGGAAGAAAGGAAAGAGAGAGGAAAGAGAAAGTTAAAGGAAAGAGGAAGAAAGAGGAAAGAGAGAAAGAAACAGAAAGAGAAAGTTAGAGGAAAGAGAGAAAGGAGAGGAAAGAGAGAGAAAAAGAGGAAAGAGAAAGAGAAAGGGAGAGGAAAGGGGGGAGAGGAAAGAGAAAAAGAGGAAAGAGGGAGAGAAAGGGAGAGGAAAGAGAAAGAGAGGAAAGAGAAAGAAAGGGGGAGAGGAAAGAGAAAAAAGATTGAGAAAAGAGAGGAAAGAGAAGAGAAAGAGAAAGGAAAGAGGGAAAGAGAAAGAGAGACAGAGAAAGAGAAAAAGGGGAAAGAGGAAAGAGAGAAAGATAAAGGGGGAGAGGAAAGAAAAAGAAGAACGAAAAAAGGGAAGAGAAAGAGAGACAAAGAGACCCTTTTGACATCTAAAATGAAGAGAACTCTGCATACGGTATATCTTTTTACCTTTATTTTATATATACACACACAGACAGACACACACACACACACACATATATATTAAAGGTAAAAAAGGATATATGCAGTGTTATCTTCATTTTAGATAGAATATTTTTTTTCTTGTTTTCCTTGTCTAAAAACTATGTGCGTCTTATGGTCAGATGCGTCTTATGGTGCGAAAAATACGGGTAAGTGGAGGAAAGCATGATGGGCAGCAAGGAGGCCCAAAACTGTGGGACCCAGAAGCGTGGGAAGCAGGCCTGAGGTCAGTGTGAACCCAATAGGACCAGAAGCAGACCTGAGGCCTGTGAGGACTCAGCCAGGTGGGAAGCAAACCCAGGTTCTGT